TGACATTCGGAGCAAATTTTAATGGGATTTTTTAGACAGGGAGTCATAGTGAACATTTCACTGGACTCCAAGTGATGGCAATGTTTTTTCAAAAACGATTATAAAAAATACGGCAAAAGATTGTCCTGGCGATGTTTTTGAGCCAGCACACGTCCCAAAATATGACCCATCTTTCAAAACATTGCCCGCCCAGGGCAATCTTTTGAAGCATTTTTTTTTAACCGCTGATTTAAACTTGGCACAAAACCAAGAATGGTTAGAGGCATGTGTACATTTTATTCCATGTGGATCAGATGAAAAAAGCAGGATGTTATGACATGGAGGGAAGAACATGCAAAAGAACCAGAATTTGCAAAAGCAGAGATTATTAATTTGAGTTTGGCAATTCTTGAACGTATAAAATCAGCCAGCTTTGCACTTGGACCAAATAAACTATGGAAATCTTTATTTTTAGTTATACATGATTTGTTTTCTAATTTTTTTTCACAGATACAAAGACCCTAAAAGCCATTCTTGGCAAGTTGCACGTGTGGTGTTTCAAATATGTGTCAAGCCAGGGAGTTACAAGTGTGGACCCCCTAGTGTAGGAGCGAATGAACCAATTGATCCTCAGTTCAGTAACAATGAGATAGAGTGGTATTCAAAGGAGAAAGGAGCAATCATTCTCCAATCATTGTTAGTCAAAATAGACTGAAGGTAACCGACAGCTTTATTTACAGATCGCTAAACAGCGCCCTCAGTGCTCACTAAAGAATTGTACATTTATTTTGTAAAGTTTTACCAGGTTTCAATTGAAGCACATTTTGTTATTTAATTTTTTTTTTAAAAAACACATTACATTTGTTTTGAGAGCTTTCAACTTAATTTGTTCTCGTTAAAACATGTAAATGAGACAGTAACGATTCAGTGCATCCTCATGTCGTAGTTAAGATGTTGATTTAGATGGCCAGCATATATGCAAGCTTCCATTTTTTATTTCAATTCAGTATAGTATAGTTGTAAGAGGATATTCAGTCAAGTACTGAGGGAATGAACAGTAATTCTGTCCTAATATCAAACACTCAACTTGAAGCAGAAAATTGCAACATCAGTAGACAGTTTTGAATACTGCTTTGATGATACAGATCATATCACCATAGTAACACAAAACAAGCATCTTTCTTGACAAGTCTGTACACTGTGCATCATATCAAGTTGTAGTTGGTGCATCCAAATGATATACCGCAGCAACATTGTATCAATACATGATATTCAAAACTACTTAACTGCATGTAATTTTCAACTCAATTAAGTTTTGCATGTTTGAGTGACTGTAACTCGCACCATTGAAGTATGTTTATCTGTATCTACTTGTGCTACTAGATGTAATTAACTTATTAACCCCTATCTATAAATGGTACAACCCATTAGTGGCTGCAATTAGGTTTGTTCCATTATGTGAAGGGGGAGAAAGAATTGGTTTTACATGGTTCCCACACTCTCAGGTCAAGTTTTTTTTTTTTAAATAATATCAACACCTAAAAATTTCCAACTTCAGGTTGATAATAATTCTTCTCTAAACCAAACAATTTTTCTCGTCCCTTCTCAATGGACTTGCTTAAATAAAATATCTTCTTAAACTCTGTATACTGAACAATGTACTGGCACATTGTACTCAGTCTTAATGGTGTTCAGCTTAGACAGGTTCACTCTGTCATCAACTTGAATTAACATTCTCAAATCACACCCAAAAAAAATGTTTTGCTTCTCGATGTAGGGAAAATTGATGCGATTTAAATTTTTTAGGGGGAATTAAGTTTATTCAATACCACAACAAGAAGATGTATGTTAAATATTTGTTTATTAAATGCGCATTTTACCGGGACGAAAAATTGTGTGACACACAGGTTTCAAACTGACACTGACATGATGAAAATTGAATTTTTTTTCAAACTTTGGTTGGATCCTATTAATTATAGTCATTCTTGCCATTTTGAATATTCACACTTTGACAGTGTGAGGGAATTCATTAGAACAAAATGTTGTGGACGTTACTCAGTCTTCAAGTTGCGCTATGAGATCTTTTTTGAAACTTCATCGGAGTCTTGGCAGATTTATGTAAAATTTTTGACAGTATGAATATGCTTGAATTGTGGAAAATATTTAAAACTATCCATAAAAATATCTTGCAATAATTCGGAACAGAAGCAATCTTAATTAATCCTCCTGCATCAAAGTACTACTTGCCATTGCATTGAGTTACACCTGTCATTTTTACCACATTCTGACCAGACACTATCATCATTAAGCAAGTCGAAATATGCAGCATGAACGGGACCACATATTGCCAGACTAGTAACAGTATTCAAACTTTTGAATGCACAATCAAATAGCAAGTGCTAAAAAAAAAAGTGTAATATTTAGTACACATACCTATATTTTCTCACACTCAGACCATCATGCATTTCATATCAGTCCCAGGACTCCAATAAACTCAAATAATAGAAGACCTTAATATGTTAAAATTGGTCCCTTATTTGCATAATAATTAGCCAGTTTTCGGCTTTTCCATAAATATCTCATGTACTTAACGTCTTATTTAAATGAATCTTGGTACATATATACTCTAAGACAATGTGACAATCTAATTAGTCTGGAATTAGGCTGAAAACCACAGATGTAAAATCAAATGCATTTTCTGTAATTATTATAAATTTGGATAATGTGGATCACATAGTTTTCATCTAAAATAGCAGAAAAATATTAGTTGCCAAGCTTCTCGTTTGAAAGGCTAATCTTAAATTTTGAATTAATTTTAATGTGTCTCCAATAGCTTTCTTTGATCTCTTTTGATCTTGTGTGTATTTTGTGATAATAAATACCGGTACTCTAAAAAGGGATGAAGTATGAATGCAGCTACCCCCACCCCACACAGGAAAACACCTACTACTCTAAAAGGGACGAAGTATGAATGCAGAGCTACCCCCACCCCCACAGGAAAACACCTACTACTCTAAAAGGGATGAAGTATGAATGCAAATCTACCACCACCCCACACAGGAAAACATCTACCCATAAATGGAAATTTGCCTGGATGTTAAAACGTATGCGAGAACCACAAAATAATGGATTTTAGACTCATTGATAGAATTGGAAATATGTTATTTTAAAGGTGTATGTAGCATGCTACTACATAGAGAATAGGTTATACCATTATATTATATAGGGGTGGAGTACATTTAACCCACCTCTTCTTGCATGATAAATGTAAATATAACATGTAAATATATTGTAACTATAGGAACCACTTAATTTAATCTTGTTTTTGATGTATCAAAGTCTGCATTGACTCCTTTTGTCTGTTATCATGAGACAAGCACTATGATTTGTAAACTGATCTTTCCATCTCTGTCCAATACTATAGATCACCAATATTTGAAGTGTTTGTCTTCCAATAGAAGTCCCATTCAATATTTTTTATTGATAACATTTATTTTACCTATCACATATCACTCCCACGTTGGTCTTATCTTTCGTTTATAATTCATTTACTTTAAAACCAAATACCAGTACACATTGTTTCCCATTGAAAACAAGTTTTTATCAACAGGGCTATTTTGTGCAAGCTGACAAAATTTCACTTTAACATTGAAAGGTATAGAATTATGTAGTATTTCTGTCCTGGTGAGTAGTGGAGACCTCTGACACTTGTATCAAATGATGGGTTTTGATTTCCTCAAATTGTTATGTCCCCTTACCTTCGTCCAATCATGTTGCCTCTAACAGTGCATGTGATACAAAACTTTTTTTCATTGTATTTAAACAGCTCTTATTTAAAAATTGGTGAAGTAGCAATGCACTGAAATTCTTTTTGAAAAAATAAGTTATTCTACAGTACACAACCTACAACAGTTAACCCCCCCCCAATAAATCACTTCCTGTTAGGTTTTTCCCTTCTAATCTTGAAGCATTTGGTGAGTTATAGATTCAAGCTAATTTGTCAATTTATTTATAGAATTTCCAAAATATGTAATTATTTACAATTTAAATCATTTACAATCTTAGTGTTGTAGATATTAATCACCATGGATACCAACGTCACTAGTACTTAGTGGTTGACAACAGGATACTGTAAAATACTTAATTTTTTTGGCTTGGAATTAATTTTCGCTATTTTTGTTGAAGGAATGATTCAGTGAAAATAAAATCCAGTTAATATACTTTTTTCCCTATATTTTACATTCAACTCATCAAAATTCCATACAAAACGCCCATAAAGTTATTTCAGCAAAAATTGATTCCAGCTAAAATAAAGTATTTCACAGTATTATCAGTATGTACTGTTTTATAAGCATGAAACTTCACTTTGGAGCACACATTGTTTGCATCAAAATTCTTCTATTGGGAAAATGCAGTTCCATAATCAGTAGTTATGTCAATTTTAGAGATGTACCAACTTTGTGTTAGTCTGTGTATTGCCACTAAATTCAGATCTACCCAAGGGATAGCTTTATATTTCATACCAAACAGTTGTATGTATTTTATGTTTACTGAATATTTAATAAAGCCCCCTAGCTAACTGTTTAAATTAAAGTTATTGTAGGTACATGCATGTTTCTATGAAGCACTTTTTCAGTGAGTAACTGAGACTTGTAAGCTCATTTTCAAGAAATGTGAAATTTTATGAAAATTTTCAGGTAATTTTTAAGTACCGGTAATTTCACTATTTTGTTTTTTGTTTTTGAAACTAAGAAAAGAATGAAACTTATCGGGTCAACCAAAAAATTTCAGAATTGCATGGTGCTTTTCTTTTGTGTTCATTTGGGTAAACTGTCCAGGTGAAATTTTATTTCAAACAGTGCATGTACCAGTTCTGTGCATTCGGTGGTGCGTTATTTTTCAGTTTAAGATGGTCCTATATTTGTTGAATTTTTGTATTATTTGAAGCATTCTGTAATGTACAGTTTTTTTGTATATATGTTATTCAGCAGCCAAGTGTGTACAATACATAAAGTGACAACTGAAGACTACTTGGGTAGTACGTCTCATTTTTTTTTAGCTCCGCTATCGACTCGAGCTTATCATATGATTGTCCGTCAGTGTCAATGTTTTACTTTTTCGACTTCTTGAAAACTAAAAGTCTGATTGCTTTGATATTACATATATAGGTACAACATGTGGATCTCTCTCAGATTTGTACATTTCATGATGATATCTTCAATTATCCAATTTTGATGAATATTTTTGTCATTTTTGATGAAAAGTGATATTTTCGACTTCTTGTTGAAAACAGCAAGTGATGATGATATCTTCAGTTCTTTAATTGCAATATGCATTGCTAACAGCGGAGCCATCTCAGCTGACAGGCTGCTTGTTTTAAAATATTGTTAAAACCACCCTGAAAATGACCACAGAATTTGTTGCTAAGCTTTTCTAAATCACAATTGAGACACCAATTTGTTTCCTAGATTGGAAGTGGTTTCTGTTTTCAGAGAAAAACGTTATTGAATGACATCTTTAAACAGTCAACTGATAAATCTCTGGTAGACTTCGAGAACAACTTTATATTAAACAAAGAATATATAATAAAAAATTGCATTCTGCACTGGAAAATTAAAAAAAAAATAATAGTTTCACAGCAAAAAAAAAGTCATGGTTTTACAATATATACATAAAATATAATTTAGCAATTTTTCCAAATCTCCATTGCATCACGAACTTGCAAAACACGGCATCCTTTATTCTCGTTACTTGAGGTTTAAGCGTTCTCAATATTTACTCTGTACTTAAAGCAAACATGGCGAGATTGTTTATCTTAACACTTGTAAATTCCTTCCAAGGTGTGTTCAAAATTTCCGGACACATTTTGATGCCTTGAATGAAAATATTGAGGAAATATCTGGTCACTGCATTAGAATAAAATAGTTTTGTTGAAATGCAGAATATCCAAAAAAAGGACTTATTTCATGACCATGATATTGCCAAAATGATTGATATTCAATGTCAACAAAACATGAAGATTAAAAGCATGCTGAACAGAATATTAGTTATATAATATTTAAAAACAAATTAGTGAACATGTCAATGTCAGTTGTCAAGTTGAAACAGTTTCATGTCAGATATTTGGTCTGGAAGCAGATGATTAACTCCTGCGTATGTGAAGAAACTTCCACTTTTCAACGGCCACAATAGGAGATTTTTAAAGAAGTTTTTAATTTTCTTAATCCCTGTTGTTCCTGGATTGTAGATCTATGATTGAAATATTCTCAAAAAGGAATCTGGAAGAATCAAAATTGGAATGTACTGGTACGTTCCAACTGATCTTGTGTATTCAAATTGCATATCAATTTTATTATTAAAAAACTAAATATTCACTGAAAATTCATAAATACAAAATAATTAATTATGGGTCAATTAACAGCAAATATAACATTTATCCATGTTGCATCATAATTTTTGTATATATAATTTATACACATTTTGTCACACTTCAATTTTGCAAGTTTTCGTGTGAAATTTGTAGCAGCGAAAATTCATGGGGGTCCTAAAGACAGAGGATCACAGCAACTTTCACGATTCACAAAAATTAACAGTTTACACTTTTCTTGAAAGTGGATAATCACCAGGGTGTTAGCATATTTCATGAAGTTGAATTGTTTCGGACTGGCCGTTGCAAATTCCTGCCTAATAGCGTGATAATCACAGTTTTTGGGAATGACATTTGAAATGACCTTCCTGATTATCGGTAGTGTTATCTTTTGCTGCTTTTGCTACTCTGTCTTGACATATTGGTTGTAATGCTTTGTCCACTGATACTTGGCCGCGATTGTATTGACCGATGCGAGCCCAAATTATGTCTTGGCATGACAGAATTGGAATCTTTCTGTCCCATGAAGACGTGATGCGGCAAGGTTAACGTACAGCAGGCGGTACGTAGAAGAGGTTCAGGAAGCTCACCAACAACGTCCCATTCATCGTCGTCACAGTTGTAGCACTGGATGTCTCGTTCACGTTGTCGACTCAGGCCATTGTACCCACCAATGACGTACAATTTATTATCGAGTACCGAGACACCAGACATACTAAGCCCTGTTAACATTGGCGACAAGCTAGTCCAGTTATTTGATTCGGGATTGTAACTCTCAACGCTCATTACATCAACGCGATCACCGTATGCATTAACGTGATTACCTCCCATCACATATAACTGGCTTCTGATAGACACCATCATGTGGAAACCACGTGGCACTTGCATCGGACTTAGCACATCCCACTGATTTTCATCTTTATCAAACACTTGTAATTGATTGGAAAACATACGGTTCGTAAATCCACCGGTTATATACACCTTCTGGTCATGAACACAGCCAGCAAGGGCATAGTTCGCACTTTCTAATGGAGCAACATATCTCCATTCATTAATCTCGGGTCTGTAATACTCCACAGATGCGAGTGGTCCATGTTCATTCTTTCCACCGATCGCAAACAATGATCCACCTGCGGCTTCAAGGACAAAGAAAGCTCTTCTCTGTTGCATTGGGCAGATCTGTAGCCATGTATTGAATCGTGGGTCATATCGATGCACTGTACCGATACTGTCTTTTCCATTGAGTTTAAGCTCACTTGACCGCCTATAATATACAGGAAATGGTTCAAAACCGCTATACAGTGGTCGACACGTTTCAGTGGCATCATTGATAAACGCTTCCATAGTCGGTGATATTCGTCAAAGATCAAAATTAAGTTGCTTACCTGGTGGTTTCCTCGCTCACCACCAACTGCAAGAATGACATCATTTGTGGAGCGTAGTTTTGTGCGCGAAGACTGCATGGAGTGCTGGCGATGAGGAACAAGGTGATAGTTCAGGGCCTCAATAAGATATTTATGACAATCTGGATCAGACATCATAAACTTGTGTGACTGCACATGATCTACAAGATCTCCAGATGTGATAAGAGGGAAACGAACATTTCTCATTATCTTAGCTGAATATCTATATCTCGCTTTCTCGTCATTTTGAATCCACCGTGCAGCAATTTTGAATAGTTGCAACTCAGATTGAACGGCTAAACGGTCTTGTGAGAGAAACCATGTAAATTGCTCAGCTGTCAGCGCATCAAACTGCTTGCTCTCGGCAACACTAACAAAGTTATCAATTACATATTCCTGAGCGAATTTAAGTAAACTTTTAAACTTGATTGCGTCCGCAAGCAAGAGAATGTCAATTGCATTTTCAGTGGTGATAGCCATTTGTAGATACTGCACGCACAGCTCTGTAACTGGTTTCATATTTAAATGAATTGTGGCATGGAGGATGGTCTCAACATTGTCTAAAGTTAGAGTAATCTCAGACGTGTAACAGTACTCTAAAATTGCTTCCAGGCCTTCCGAGGACACCTCCTGGAGCAGGATTTCATGGATACGATTCCCTGTTGTGAAAATTGTTTTAAAGTATTCGCTGCACGAGGCCAGCACTGACCGGTGCACCATGTAGTGTCGCCCATTAGCAATGATTGTTCCATCGCAGAGCAGCTTCTCAGTCCTTAGCAAGTTCAGCGATTTCAACACATTTTCCGAATGTTCCTGAGAGACAAACGTTTTACTCGGAAGCGGGTATTGATTCGTCCGAATGCTATCACAAGGTAATCTTGGACTAGAGTTCATTGATCTTGGAGAGTTCTGTAGAGAATTCATACTGTTGTGCAGAGACGATGTTGCCATGGTTACCAGTCAGTTAATTTAATTCATTGTTCTGAAAAAAATAAATAAAAATAAGCAGTAAGTACACAAAGTTCTTTCAATTATTTCTGGGATTCGTTGCATTGACGGCAACAGCTGGAGGATTACAATGACGCAGTTACTACTTGACTTGACATCTATACTTTACTAGTATACCACTCACAATATATATCACTTAAAATACAAAGTAAAGTAAATCTAGTGAAATGCACCAATTTAAAAGGTTATGCAGCTGTTACCAAAAACCTACATCTTCTGCATTTGTACATCGGACAGTGAAATTCACCTTGGCTTCTGACATGAGTGAATCAACATGTGATGAGCAAGCATGAAAACTAAAAAAATTTAATTTTATACAATTAATTTTATTTAATTATATACAATTTATCGATGCAAATAGGTTATGCAGATGAAATATAATCTGTTGACCATAAAAAGGGGACAAAAAACGTGCAATTCTATTTTGAACGACCAAAATAATGATTTTTAATTATTTTACGTTTTTGGCATTATCTTTAGTTTTGATGTATTTAAAACATTCTAATTTCCATTACTATAATCATATACATGTGTAATATGCACCCTGCAAATTTGAACTAATT